TATATGCTACATCCCGGGGGTGTCCCCTGCCTTGTGTTATATGCTACATCCCGGGGGTGTCCCTGCCTTGTGTTATATGCTACATCCCGGGGGTGTCCCTGCCTTGTGTTATATGCTACATCCCGGGGGTGTCCCTGGATTTGCTTTCTGCAAATGACAGGCCTCAATTTGCAAAAGCATAAATGGAAGATGGATGGATGGATGGATGATATACAATAACACACATGTAAACACAAAAATACAAACTCATTATGACCACAGAAACACTTACCTGGCCATTGGACAGAATCTTCTTCAGCTCTGCTGATGATTTCTTCAAGCTGTGACAGGCAAGACAGCATGTTCAGAAATCACCCTCGGCTGTGCAGGAATGCTTGAGAGTGACACAAACGTGAACAAACTTCACCTTTGCGGCTGCTTTGAAAACATCCAAAAAAGCCAGCCCAAGCAAAATCGCTTTTTTTTTTTTTTTTTTTACCAGAAAATCACACCGGTAATCACATCAGAGCTCTAAATGGGAAATTTTAACAATTAAGCACAAAAGCACTCTTCAGCTACACTCACTATATGCACAAATTATGCAATGAACCCGGCAGTTCCAGCTGAGAAAGGAGTTTTAACAAAGGAAATTGAAATATTCTTCATAATCAACCTGATTGAGGTCTGAGTTTCTTGTAAGAGGCCTGTGATGTCCACAGACACGACAGTCAGGCATCAGGCTCGCCACTGAGGATCCAAAAGGAGCCACCTTCAGGTCTAACTCAAATTTTGGGGAGGGTCCCATTTCAACACAAGACCCTCTGCTTAAAGACTACAAGAGGGTTCATTCTGAAGCACACGTTTTATAAACGCCAAAAACAAAAAAAAAAGCCTGATGTAGGGTCACAGCTTATATCATTATCAGGAATTCAGGAAACCCCCCCCCCCCCCCCCCCCGCCCCCAGCTCTGACACCCACCGGACCCCACCTCTGCTTCCTCACCTATTGTTGGGCAGCTTCTCCACGGTGGCGGGGCCACAGCTACTGGCGGAGCTGGGACGCGTGTTCACCTGCAGGCAAACGGGGACGATCGAACGCAAGGCCTCCACAGCACTAATTAACCTGTGATTTGCCACAGAACTCCTCAGTTCAGCTTGAAGGTTAATTGGCTTTTGTGAGCGAGAAAGGATGGATGGGAGGGGGGCCGTGGGGGGGGGAGGCACTTAATTTTAACGGAAAAAATGAAGAGCTTGCAGAAGATGCGTGGAAGGAAACACAAATGTGACAAGAATAAATAAAACTTTCCAAGAGCTCTTAATTCCTCTCAGGTTACAGTTCTTGGGTTTAATTGATCATCACAGCTGTCAGACTCAAAGGCTCAAGGAAAACACAGGGAATGTAGCTAAAAATAACATGTTTAATTGAGGTCTGCAGGTCATTTCGTTCAGTCCAGTAAAGCAGCGATTCTCTCCTTAATTAGTGCCCATTAAGACCTAATTTAAATGTATATTATTTTATTCCTTGTTTCCAAGCCAATTAATTTTTTTAATCAAAGAAAAGTGGGGGGGAAAAGATTACCCAAGGTTTCTTAGCATCTACAGAAACACAATTAGTGAAAAAAATATATATGATTTTTTTCATCAAACAAAAATTGAGAAATAGAGATCAGAGAGGAACATTCAATGAATCAATTGGTCAAATAACCAATCAAATTCATTTTGTAGGCGGTATTTTCCCCCCAGCTGATGTCACGAAATGCTTTAAAGCCATTTTTCCAGGCTGATGGGTGTTTAAAAAAATGAAAACCCAATACCATCATTTAAAATAATAAATCAGCAGGTTTAAGGGAAACCAGGCCTATGTTCTGGAACTGGCGGATAACGGCGGATCCTTCGCGAGAAATGCTCGGACCTGTGTCCCTTCCAGCAATGGAGCGCATTCCCCATTTGGGGGGGGCAGATTACTGGGTAATACCCCACTCAGTGGGCTCAGAGGGCACCTGGGAGAGAGAGGACTGATGGACAGGGGGGACGGGGACACGCTGGAGGTGGAGGGAACCAGAGAACAGGAAAAAGCGAACTAGGAAGACTTCAACTAATATTTCAGTAAGTGGAACACAGTGTTACCAATCCATTCCCAACTTTCCTCAAACAATTATTGAAATGGATACCTTCAGGCCATGTATGTTCCGGATCCCTGGAGTCTTCCCGGCTGAAACAGTAATTGACTAAATTGTAGAACACATCAGAGCCATTTACAAATTTGCTCAAAATGAATCGTTTAAAAAGAAATGAGGGTGACTCTGAAATTAGCAGGGAAAATGACTGAGATGTGGCTCTAGAGACCCGGGCCGCGGAATTAGGAGCGGCGAGAGCAGCCGCCTCCGAGCGGGTCCACGGCGCCTATTTACACACGGCGCTGAACATTGGGTACACACAGGACAGGGGCATGCGGCACAATCCGGATTACACCCTCAGTCATTTGCCAGATTTTTTTTAAATCCTATTTGGAGCAATACTCTCATGAGTCAAAGAAACGGTTTACCACCAAATTATCCTGAAATGGGCTTTGGCATGCATCATCGTCTGTAATTTCATAATATATATTCAGCGCACATTTAATTTAAAGGCTGTAGAGAACAGTGAAGTATAATATATGCATTACTACAATACGATATGAACACAAACAAGCACAAGGCCGACAAAAGAAAGCCTTTAATGTGTAGCATATAAACAGTTGTACGATTTTTTTGCCCCAAAATACTGTGAATTGTTTAACAAAAGCCAAAGAGCCAAAAAACGCTCTTTTATCAAGACGGAATAATGCGAGTCAGTGAACTGGCTCTGTCGGAGAGACTCTTTCGGTTATTCAGCAGAGGAGAAATAGTAACGACAGAGCGCAGAGCCGCGAACACAGCGCCAAATTGCTTTCAGTGTTTAGTGCTGCGGAGTGTTTGAGGACTACGCGGAGATCTCGGCCGCGTCGGCCGGCGCGTTCATTTCCCAAATACAATACCTACAAATTATATGTTGAAGGGGCTGTCGGTTTTGATTGATTGTACCACGCAGGCAGTCACAGACTGACTGACTGATCCCCCAATGCCCCCCCCAGCCCTAACTAAGCCACACAGCAGGCCTCTGCTGACCCGCCCCACCGCCGCTTAACCAATGAGCTGTAATTATCACGCCTATCAGCCTCTCTGCGACGCTGGGCATCCAGGCGCCATGCCGACGGGCTCACAAATTGGGCACGGGGTGGGGCAGCCCTGGACCGGGGACCTCAAGTCACTGCAATGCTGTCACTGGCAGCCAGTAAGCAACACGCTGCTCCAGCGATAGTGGTGATGCACAGAGACACCGCTCAGTGAAAATGACAGTGGTGGGTTCTGTCACATTGTATCTCGCTTGGCTTTTCTCTCCATTTAAGCATCGAACCTTTATTAAATGGTAAAGGCAGGTCTGATGCCCCCAACACCTGTCACATGTGTGCCACAGGTCAGCCGACTCAGGGCAGGGTGAAAGGATGCCGTTCTCACACTGGGGTTACCTCTAGGGAAGATGTGGAGTGGCTCGGGCTGGACGCCGTTCATGCACTGCTCCATGACGGTGCTGCAGTACTGTGGAGAAAAGCAGAGAGGCACGGTGAGCCAGGAGGGGGCGGGGCCAGGAGGGCGGGGTCAGTATGGGGGCGGAGCCAGCAGCCATCCCATCGCCCTGTCCAGGTGATCTGTCTTTAATGGGAAATTTGCCTTCTATCGATCCACACCTTGTAATGCCTGCCAGCTACAATCCAATCACGCAGCAGTCAGGGGCATTAAGAGACGCTTTTGCTCCTGCGTGACGCCGTGGCACCCTGCTGCCTGGCTGGTCACCTGGCTTTAGCCCCCCACCCCGACATTTTTGCTCATTTTCAGGCAGGTTTATCTAGTAGCCTGAATAAACATGCAGCAGGAGTGTCGAGGCAAGGACACAAACACACAAGGTGGCTTCATCCATAGCCGCCATTCAGCCTACAGCAGCATGTCTGAAATAACCGTGCCATGTCTGGCAAATTCGGCTTCCGAAACACCTCCCAGACTCTCGCAAAAAGCAGCGTCCAGTGGACGCCGCGGTCAGTATGACCACCTGCTGAAAGCTAAATCCCGTGCCTATTTTTTCCCACTAGTTAGGCTCTGCTGGGGATGAGGGGATTTAAACACAGCCAGGATGAAGGATTTAGGCAACTGTCTCACAGTTCTCAGTGCAATTTTGTCCCTCCTCTTCCTCGACGTGATGGGAGGAGAAGTGCAGAGCGGCCCGCCGATTGGATACGGATGCGTAAACGAGGAGAGGAATTAAGGAACGGAGGAGTGCGGATAGGGCCGGCCGGCCAAGTGGTGCAGCTGTTATTAAGAGGGGCTATTTATCACTGTCACCCCTCCCTAGGCTTCACCCTCCTCTGCCTGCGAGCTCTGTCAGTGGGCCGCGCCGGAACAATGAGGCTCATCCCCCGCCGGCATTCAGGCGGCCTCACACACACACACACACACGTATACACACACAGACATAGACACACATACACACACAGACAGACACAGAGTCACACATATGCTTGCACGCACACAAGAATCCCTGCGCAAACACCTTTAATTTTCCACTCTGCTACTTTATTGATTAAAGCTGCAATTACCCACTAATGTGCTACAGTGTATTAAAGGGATCTCCCTTTGTTGGACAGTAAGTAAGCGACTGGCAGGTTCACGCAATGCTGTCCCGCAGCCTGGGGGGACGCGCGTCCCCTTCGCCTCATCATCATTAGCGGTTCCAGGATCAGGACTGGGGGGGGTGGGGGGGTTAGGGGCAAGTCGGTCCTGAAGTGGAGTCAGGCGACGCATACCGGCCATCAGAAGGAGGCTTGAGCAAATCCGCGTGTGAAAGTCACCCCAGGCCCAAGAAATTCTGTTAATGGGCATGCAATTGTAATTTTAATTACAACACGGAGCACATGGAAATCAGATTAATTAATAGCAGAAATGACCGATAAAGGAAAGACCAATGACACCAAACAGAGCAAATCACATTAACGCCATAACATGAAAAAAACAGAGAAATCGATAAAGTGGGGGCCTCTCTGATGCTGAATGGGCACAGATGAAGGGTTTGCTAGCCGGTCCTGCTTCCATTGATGCCAGGAGAGTGCAGTCGGCGGGCCTCTCACAGCCTCCCATCCAGTTCAAATCTACACGGCTCTTTTTGAAGAGGCCTTATTGTAATTCACATACTCACCTGTAATTACTGCAGCTCATGTTAATTAAATCGCAAAAATAGCTGAAAAAAGCAAGAGAAAAAGCAGGGCCCACAAGTGGGCTGGCCATGTGATCCGTCACATCTGCTTATACAACTGCAGGTTCCTGACACATTTAAGCAAAGGTCCAACTGCAGTCACTGCAATCCATTTGACCATGGATTTATTCATCTTAACTCAGCCATCAGTCTTCAGCCAGATACTGTTTTTTTTAATTTTGTATGTAGTTAGTTTTATAATGTGCCTTTAATGGTCTGAACATAGTCCCTTTGGCAAAGGGGTAGAGATCATTTGTTCCTTTACAGGCAACATCCTGCCAACCCAGTTTTGCAGAGGCTCCGCTCAGTGATGCCAACGAACCTCGATTGTTCATCGGCCAGGGGAACAGTAACAGGAAGTCAGAAAGATGTCAGATCAAAGATTGCATACTCTCTATGACCAGAATGGTAACAAAAATGGCTACCGGATATTAAGAATGGTTGACTGAGAAAGTCCGGAAATACCAGCATTTATACGATTCCTCGCTACAGGATTATAAAGAGTCCCAGATGGCTACAAAGTCAAAACGTTTGTACTGCAGCGCCAAATGCCTGTGTGTGTTTTTGTATCAGTGTTATTACTGCTCTGATTGATTTATTTATTTTATATTACTGTTTATTTTCATTTGAAATCTAGTTTAGTTTTAGTTTACGTTAGATTTACATCTTTAAAATAAAAACTATTTAGTTGTTATATATGTTACTTTAAATTTTAGTAATTTTATTTCTAGGGATAAACGGAAGGTTGTAGGACTTCGCTGCTACAAAGTGTTACGATGTAGTGCCATTAGCTATTTATATGGTTGAAGTACATTGCAAGAGAGAGCCAACGATAAACAAAGCTTTACTCTGCTACATAGTATAGAAAAACTATAACAAGAAGTATTTGACCTTATTTTATCTCATTTGGTTTTGATTTATATTTATAGTTGTCATTTAGGTGCAAGTTTTTATTTTGGAATCTTATTTTATTTCAGTTCATGGAAATGTTTTCATTAACTGCCTTGCATGCTATAAGTACATAGGACACAGTTACAAGAATAAACAAGAATTTTACTAAAAGTAACATCCATACCACACTTCATAAACGTGACTTGGTGTGTTTGGCGCTGGAAATATGAACATCCAGAACTGCGAGCGGGCCGGCGCCGTGTTGCATGCGGCGTGGAACGCACCTTTTCACGTGAAATATGAGCTGCGCTTACACCACAGGAAGCAGAAGCAGCGAGACTGGCTAAAATGTTGGGGGCAGTCATTCTTATGCAAACACAATTTGCCAATAGACACGTTAGAAAAAATTTATATCCGTATATTGCACGATAAGGCGATAACATAATTATTGTGACAGGCCTAGCGCTCACATTTTGGGCCTGAGCATGTTTTTGTCATCATTGTGCGACTTTTGAGTTAAAGAAAACATAGGAAGAAAAGCGCTATCGCACAGCACAATACAGTACATGATTAATGCCCTTATTTTGTGGTTTATTTGGACTTGTTTTGGGTGCAATGACAAACGGCCCTCATCGATTTATCGAGTATGCAGGGTTGCGATTTTCAATTACTTGTGCTGCATGTATAAGAAGATAGTCTTGTATTTTACCAAATATCTTTAGTGTGTTGCAAAGAGTTGTTCCTGGATAGTCTTGTCAGCTCAAATTTCCGGCAAGCATTGCACCTCTGCCATAGACCAAAATGACCCTCTTGCCATGATGTTTGCTAAATGTTTGTTGGAAAAAAAAGACAATCTGTACAGCCTACCCAATCTGTTCCTACCAGGTTCGGTTGATGAATAGTGTACATGTGTGTGTCCCAGTCCCATCATTAATGTCACGTCTGAGTTCCATATCTGGCTACGGTTAGCAATCACACTAGATGCGTACCATGACCTAGTCTGACTAATCGTGCTTAGGCCCACCTCTTTAAGCAGGACAGGGCATGGTTGAGCATACAGAGCAATCACACTAGTCAATCTAACTGCGTTTTGGGGGTTAAACATGCTCAGACACGGTACGGATCGGCTAGCATGAGTACACCCTTAGAGGAGAACTTTCCAGATAGTGTGAAAGCTCCGAACACTTCAGTTCAGAATCAAGTGTTTCTTCTCTCCATCTTCACACATTATTCAATAGCACAAAAAAAAGAATAATCTTTACTTAAACAAGGTCTGGAATTCAAAAACTGAGAAAAAAAAACTTTTATCTGCAAAGCATTACACCCTTAGCAATAAAAGAACCTCAGTCAGTTTCAATTCTATTTATTTCTTGCATACCACGCATAGCTCTGTCACATTACCAACTGCAGAAATATGCTTAGAAAGTGCAAATGAGAGGACCAGCAAATTCTTTCCTTGTAAGCAAAGTACTTGTGATGCAGTGGAGACCCAGCAGCCTTCTCTCTTGCCTTAACAGCCTCTGAACGTGCCTCCAAAGGCAGGTGTACCTCTAAACACCCAGAGGAATCCTTCTCCTATCCACTTCCCTGTCTTAATTATCTTTATTTTAAGACAGGGGTGGCCAATCTTACCCGCAAAGGGTCGGTGTGTATGTGGGTTTTTGGGAAACCTTTAGGTCAGCTGTTCACACCCAGGTGTGAGGACTCTTCAGCCAATCAGGCCTCTAATTAATAATCTAATTAGGGAGTCACAGCGAAATCCCACAAACACAGCGGCCCTCTCTGAATTAGATTGGCCACCCCTGCTTTACACAACGGCTCTCCACTGAACTGGAATTAAGGACATCCAAGCAAAATTTTCTTTTATTAGCTTTAACAGTAATTGACGAAAGGTATAACCTTTGCCAAAAATCCTACAAATCCTTGCTTCACACATGAATCACGTTCAAAGCTTTTCAGCAAGAACAGACGTCTCCGGAGGGGTCCTATGACCCTGAACTACAACAGGAACCCACAGAACCATCCAGAGAAGGCTGGGCATCACTCCTGTTTTGTATACATCGGGACAGAGTGATTCATGGCACGACTGTCTTGGTTCCACGAGACTCGTCCTTCAGATGAACATTCAGCGTGCAGCGGTTAATCGGCCTGGTTTAGCGCGTATTGTTATTTAATACCGGCATACGGAGGAAAGGGTCACGGCTTTCAGGTGTTCACAAAGGACAGTGTAACAGAAAATCCATATTTGTTGTGAAGATGAGGCCAGTGACCTCCACCTTGACTTATGACTCCTGTTGTAGGCCGCTGACCCCAAGAAGATGAAGCATGGCCTCCGATATTAGCTGTGTGACCTCAGCTGAACCCAGATGATTCCAGATTTACACTAGCCGGTAAACCGGTCAGCCGGAGGCCCAGACGGGCTCGGTGCGGAATCTAATGGAGCTCTGTCCTCTTTGGAACAGTAACGGACCAGGCAGCACCACAATCACTGCACCTCATCGGGACACCCAGAATCGCCAAAGTTACACACAGACACACACACACACATATATATATATGATTTTTTTTGCCACACCCTTCAAAGCATCACAGGGGAACTGTAGTCAAAGAGTCCCTCGTAAAAACGTGGCACGGGACATAAATCAAAGCAAGGTGACTGTCCTCATGTAGGACTTCATGGACACATTCAGTGTGACCCCCCCCCCCTCCCGCCTCCCGCCCCCCCCCCCATCAGCTGCCATCATGCCAGCCTGCAGCCCCAACAAACAAACCCAAAGATTAAAAAACACAAAAGCCCCGCATAAATAAAACCATGTAAGGAAGGAGAGGATATTGAGCCTCTGGCTGTAAGAACATCATCGCATGCTCACAGGGGGTAAAAGACATCCCCAGATGAAAGTAGATTTTGAAAAATTTCCCAGCCCAGGGGGTCTGCTTTTTAATGAGCCGAAACTTTAAGTACTGCATAATAAATAATAAAAATTGATAGTTCATTTAGCTTTCACTGTACCTCGTGGAGAAGCCATTACAATCCATTACTCTTAATGTCCACAATGTGAGCAGTAAGTACGGAGGAAGCATATATAATATTAGCACAGAGGGGAATATCGAAACAATAATCAACACTCACAACAACAAAAAACAAAAACAAAAAAACACGCACAGACCCTGACACGCACTTTCTCCAGACGTTCCCCAAAAACACCGCAAACACACGATGTTTTTCTAAAGCAGTGTCATTGTACATCACCCAGGCGACAAGTGACAAGAAAATAAATGTGAATGCAAATGAACATACAACGCTGGCGCCGCGGAATAACCGTCTGAAATGCAAACCTGCCCTGTCGGTCCGTAACCCGCTGCGAAAATCACCAACCGGATTGTGTATTGACTCATTCCTTTATTGACCCGTGTTAACACACTGTCAGTTACCAAAATGGGGGGGGGGGCCCAGGACTATAAAATTATTGACAAATACTTCAACCAGGCGCTGCCTGTTGTCATGGCAACGCTGATTGGCGCAGCGGGTCTGCAGGCCTTCTCCATTCAGCATTTCCAAAAAAAAAAAAAAATATGTATCCACTTGTCATTCCCTCCAATCTGCTTAGTAATGAGAACATTTTCCTCCTGGGTGAAAAGATCTGCTATAATAGATTTTTAATAGCTTTCTCCCCCCAACAAAAAAAGAAAAAAAAAACACTTCCAGCACTCAATAGCATAACTGAAAAAGGCTGTAATTCCAGTTTCATGGGTATGGGGTCAGCAATTATAATTCATTGAAATCGCAAAAAACTTAAAGCCTTTTGCCAATAAGATAAACCCATTTCCCAAGCCCGCATTTCTTTTTTTCCATAAAGTCACACAGCACAAAGACAGAAGTCTCAATTAAAAACACTGACGTGGTCTCAGTCCCCACAGATGCTCTGAGCTGGAATACGCCAGGCTTGGTGGGAGGGGTGGGCTGGGCAGGTGCAGCACCGGGACCCGTGTGTGTGCCAGCCCTTCACAGGGTGAGGAGCTGAGACGGCCGCAGACCAGTGCGCCCAGCGTACTTACGTAGGAGAGCATCGCCTTTAGTTCCTCGTCACTCCTGACTGTGATTCTGTCCCCCACTTCGTCCTCATCTGGAAACCAAATGCTGCATGTTACACCCAGGAAATGTCAATCCATAAATACCGGTGAACTTGCATTCTTTGGGATCACTTGCATCATGCTCAACTGAATAAGTCCAAAACTTACTGATAACACTTACTCTATAATAGAACTTTTAATCAGGTTTTAAGAAAGGGTTACTTTGGCTGCAATTGTTTTTCTCTTCTGAGACACAATGACGATGATTTCACTCCGGGATAAATAAGGTTTTTTCTGTTTCTGATTCTGAAATGATGACCGACCTCACTCTCATTTATCTTCTAGTTGACCTGAGAGTGACATTTTCATCAGACAATTATGTTAATGAAAATTATTCACACAAACATCCAAAAACAAATTCAGCTGAAGTGAGCAAAAAAAGAGAAAAAAACAGCTGGAAAACAGGAGCCTCAAATGGAAACAAAGCAGAACATACTAACAGTTTGGGACGTTGGCTTCGTCATTGGTCACAGAGCAGCGTGTCATTAGCCAGCGTCAGCCAACCAAATCAGCCTGGCCGTCGTAAAATCACACCATTTCACTGTATATTCTGCTATTCCACTACTCTATGAAAGATTTTTACAATTCACTTGGTAGGAGTCTGTGAAATTAATTTACTTATTTAGCACAATGCATTTATATTACATGGAAGATGTTTACAGATATTGCATTTCAGGACACATGGGAAGGTGGCAAAAGGGCATTTATACACCACTTTAACTACTTGTCGATGCCCGTCGACGCAGGCAAGTCGAGCCATGTCTAGATGAAATATTGTGTCTTGCAGTGCTCTTCTCTTGGGGATAGAAATGAAAATGGAAAGGTGAGGTGTAGGGGAAACCTTGCCATTATCATTTTTTTGCATTTCCATTTCAAGTTCATTTTTTTGTGAGAAGGAATATGCCCCTTGATAATATCATACTTTCCTTCTCAAAAAGAACCTGATTCTAGGCACTGCAGCTTTTACAGAAACTGTATTTTGTGTAGACATCAAAATGCACAGATACAGTATCTGGCAAAGACTGTTTGCAGCTTTTGCAGTGTTATTACTATTATTATTATTACTTTAATAGAACAGCTTTCATAATAAAATGTACCTAATTGAACAGTTTAATACGGATGAAGTTGAAATAGAAAGTCTCAGTCCTACACGCCAGTTTTTTAACCATCTTGCCACCTGCAGGAAGAAGTAGGAAAACTCCTCTGCATTACACAGATAGGTAATGTTTCAACGTGGTTATAAACTTTTTCTCATTGTTGTTTCAGGCAGTAAAATATTACAAGTGGCCAACGCATCCCTCTAGATTAGGAAATTCACATAAAAATGTGTGCGGCTACTTACACTCAAACGCCGTGATTGTCGCTTCCGGCATTACATCCCTTATGGCGTTCTGGAGAAAATAAGTTCAATTGCATGTCAATAAGCGGCTTTCTAATATATTCACTTTACTTCTGGAAGTTCAACCAGGAACCAATAATCGGGATCTGACCGAAAAACACAGCTGGATAAATTGTAACAGTAGTGACCACATTACAGATACATATATGTATTAATATTAATATGCGTCTTCTCGCCATTCTGAAATTGATGGCATTACCACTACACGGGAACACAACAATAAAGTCATAAATAAACCAGGCACCCCCTCACCAATAAATCACTGAAGCTCAGAAGTGATGGACAGTCCACGGTTGAGTCCATGTCTCCGTCGGGTGTCTTTATTCGAATTACAATTCGCTCGGTGTCCATGGCGGTAATGTTACTTAGAGCAAGTAAAAGCATAACAGACGCATTAAATTAGTCATAGTCAAACTTAATTTATGCTGGAAGAAGACGTGACATTCTCTTATGCTGCCGATTTAAAGGATTAATTTTGGGGGGGAAAGTTCGGCTGGCTGCATATAATCCATCAAACACCACTCTACGATAGTCCAGTACGGCGTGTCCAAAAGAACTGATGACTTAATAGACGGCAAATCTGACTCGATAGGCGTTTTTGGTTGTTTATACTAACTATACAAGGTGAATTTCTCAATATTCAAAATACAGGAAGTACACCGGAAGTTCAAGAAACATAACCCGGAATTACATCACATCACATAGTATTACGTCATATGTAGGCGGATCGGTCTATGGGGTTACATGTTGCATTTGTGGTTTATTGTAATAATAATTTTTCTATTTCATTGTAATAAAAAGATCTGAAATCTGACAGTATCTCTCTCATATATATATATATACATATATATATATCTATATGTATATATATGTATGTATATATATATATATATGTATATATATGTGTGTATGTATATATTTATTTATTAATTATAATTTTTATATATATATATATATATATATATATATATATATATATATATATGAGAGCGAGATAGTATGGGAAGCATTTTTTGGGTCCCCACAAGGGGAAACTTAATTTTATATATGTAAACCACTCTCAAGGTCGTCACAAAGAAAATCCTTGACTTCTGTCAAAAAACTTTAAAAATAACAAAACTCTTGTATTTCATTTGGGTACTTGTGCTTAAGGTCAGGGCTGGGTAGGGGTTAAGGTTGCCATTGTTGGGACTAGGGTTTTACCTATAGAAATGAATGGACAGTCCCCACAAAGATATGAATACAAACATGTGTGTATGTATGCATCTGTAGATTTTATTTGTTTTGATACTCGTACTTGACATAAGACAACACCCTCAGACAAATGTTACTGCAATTCAATTTGAACGATATTTTAATATTTATGCCATAAGACAGACTATGTGCTAAATCTCTCACTCAGATCTGGTCAGTTTATAAACAAGCACCAAAATGGAGTAGGTTCCTTCTCTCACTGCAGTGATTTACACAGCTGGTTATTTACTGATGTAAGTTATTTTAGGAACTTCCAATAATCAATAATTAGTGAGCCCAATTTTCCTTATGTTTTTCAAACCTGGTGAATATCCCACAAACACATGAGGACAATACACCAACTCCACACCGGCACTGGGCCCAGAGACCAGGCCACAGTGAGAGCCAATGCACCACTGTACTTGGTAAAAAATGTTAAATTGGCCATTTTAAAGAGCATTATATTTTATTTTTTAAAAAGCCCATTGATATCTTTTGAGTTTTAGGTGTACCGATACTATACTGTACTGAAAACGGACTAAAACTCGGAGGTCAGTGGTAGCACCAATGGAGGGGGCCGGGGGGGTCAGGTGGGGAGCAGTGTAAGTTTTCCTCTTCAGATGGCCCTCCCTTTTACTGCTGCACCCTGTGACCCTCCCCTGAAAAAGGCTATTATTATTGTTAGGGGTATGAAGGTAGGTATTACCAAGGTGGCTATTACCAGATAAGCTAAAGCAGGGGTCTCCAACTCCGGTCCTGGAGAGCTACCGTCCAGTTGGTTTTCTATCCTACCCGGCTTCTGATGAGCCACACCTGTTCTCAGGTAAATACCAGGAGCAGGTGTGGCTCATCAGAAGCCAAGTGGGACAGAAAACCTACTGGATAGTAGCTCTCCAGGACCGGAGTTGGAGACCACTGAGCTAAAGGCTGATGTTAGGGTTGGCGTTAGGGTTAGATGTTAAGGTTTGGGTTAGGGTTAGGACTACACTACTAGCCAAAGTTGGCACTAGGGTTAGAGTTAGGGCTAGGGTTGGATTTAATATTTGAAATTGGGTAAAGTCTAGGAATACGGTTTGCATTATGCTTACGGTTAGGTTTGGCATTAGGTTTAGAGATAGGTTTGTATTTAACATTAGAGTTACAGTTAAGTTCGGTCTTAATATAACAATTTGGGTTGGGGATAGGGTTACGGTCAGGGCTCCAGCTAGAGTTATGATTACACTATTTGAACTTGCAGGTAAAACGATATCACAAATGTGCCCATCATTAACACAGAGGGGAATTTTTAATCACTTTTTCACACATTTGGAAGGCATTTCCCCAGGGAATAAGATACATTTTCAATACTATGATTCAGCTTGGGCTGCTGACACAGGGTTAAGAAAATCGCTGTAAGCAGCTGCTTTACTCAAACAGCATACTGCAATTAAAAGCAGTGTGTGTGTGTGTGTAGGGGGGGGGGTGCTCTGATCACAAAGCTCCAACCCACTGCTATTACCTGCTCCCGGCTTACGCTATCACTGCAAAATAGAGTGTTTTAATCTTCAATGGATAATTAAAGAATGCCAACCTGAGCACCCCCCCACACTTAAACATTCATGGAAGATGAAAGCAGGGTAATGCTGTATGAAGCATTCTCGTTTTCTGAAGAGACCCATAATCGCAAACAAAGAATCATATTTCTCCTTTTTGTTGATTACAGAGAACATTATTGCTGATAATTAAGAGTATGATTAATCTGTAATTATGGTGCAGAGTTACTCTAACATCATAATATATTTAAGGTTGGGGAGTAGCTTTTTGCTACGAGTCTGGAGATTCTATGTTACCCTCTCCGATTATTAAGATACTCACTTCCCAGAACCAGACAAAAGCAGCCTGACTGCCCAGCAAATCTGTCAGCACTAAGCCAAGTCCCAGAAACATAATCTCTAAAACCAGGCCATTGACTCCTCCTGGCGCTGCCTCATCTCTCACCGTTGTCAACCGCAAAGGAGCAGAAGGTCCATTGATTTCCATGTAATACAAGAAATTATTACTTTGTCTAATTGTTACTGAGATGGAGGAGACAGGGCCAGGAAAATCAACGGCAGTGATTAATGCTTCCAGCAGCACGGCGCAGAGGGCATGGCAATCCATAGGCAGTTTGTCAGGCTGATTCTGTGAAGGAAAAGTCGTAGAAGCTTCTGCTGGAGAGTAACAGGTAAGCCAAGTCAGCAATCCACATTATTAGAAATCAAAGCCCTAGGCTGGCTGGGAGGAGGAGGTGGAGAAGGAAGGCTCCAGACAAAGGCCACATTTGGTGTCTAGTAATTAAAAACCATTTCATCAGACCTCCACTCTCACCATTCCCTGCTGCTCACTATTGACAAGCTGCTTAACAGTGAGTGAAGCACTATTTGACTTTAAACATATGAGCTACAGTTATTTAACTTTGTGCATTAAGAGGATGAAACCAAATGGGAATGTGAAAAATTGTTCTGGCTTTAAAGATTCTCCACAAAAAAGAGTGGCTTATATTTCCTAAATTAATTTAGAAATGAGTTGGAAATGTATTTATATTTTAGGACAATTCACGAAGCTTAAATACTGTATACTGGAAGATTATATAAATGTGTTTTGATTAATTTGGGGTTTATTAAAGTTTTCTAATCACAATAAATCTAGTATCTAGTTTTTGCCAAAATACATTTACACTTAACCTTGCAACTGACAATCAAGATATGTGTACCATGTGCAAGTCATGCATGTCCACATTCTGTACTTACTAAGTCATACATGTCCTCATTCCGTACATACTAAGTCATACATGTCCTCATTCCGTACATAAGTCATACATGTCCGCATTCCGTACATACTAAGTCATGCATGTCCGCATTCCGTACATACTAAGTCATGCATGTCCGCATTCCGTACATACCAAGTCATACATGTTCACATTCTGTACACACCAAAGACCTACATTGATGAAGACATCTTAGGGTCCCAATGAAATCAAGCATCTTGGTCAACAGAACAATATATTTATAATTCATATTACAGATAAATTCTGAAATTTCAAGGGCAGGTAAAGCATAATGTAGTCAGTACTGTGAAAACGTATTTCCACCTTGTCTGAGTCTCACACAGAATTAGGTCAGGTTTTGTGGGTTTTATTACTGTGTAAACGGAGCCTAAGAAAACAAAAATGACAAAGCCTAATGCTTCTTTTGTTTTGTCTGCAAGGAAACAAAACATGCTAAACAGAAATACAGAGATAATAAGAGCATGCTGCTTCAGTATTCAGGGCTTCATAAATAATAATAATACATCCACCTTCAAATTGATCATCCTGGCTAGGCTCTCGGGGGGTCTGGAGCATATACCAAGCAGCATATATAGTATATATAGTGCATTTCAATAAGCCATTACAATCTATTACAATCATCAACAAGCAAAAACTTAAAATGTGGGGAAAAAACTACATATTGTATAACCAAATGGCACTACTTATATTTGAAAAAAATTCTAAGGGTTTCTTTAACCAAAACGTGTCTATGACACATTTGTATTCAAATAGGTTAGATATGTACAAAAAAATCCTATATATAAGTGCAGCCAGGTAAAAAATAAAAATATTGAAATTTAATATAGTTTATAAATAGCAAACATAGCTACCATAAATATTACAGTAGTGCAGAAAGACAGATTTACATTACGTTACACTTCAAACAAACAAATTTATTTTTGTATAGCGCATTATCACAACATTACATTGTCCCAAAGCGCTTTACAGCATCCCCACCCAAAGCCCCCAGTGAGTAAGCCAGGGGCCGGCAGGGAGAATCAAATACAGTACAATACAAACATCCAAGGAACACTGCATGAAGCCTTAAGCCAGGGGTGCCCAACTCCAGTCCTGGAGGGCCAGAGCACTGCACATTTTCAGGTTTCCCCTCATTTAACACACCTGATTCAACTCCTTGTGCTAATTACCACACAGCTCTTGAGCTGAATCATTTATGGTGGAACAGAACTAAGCTACACAGGGCTTCGGCCCTCCAGGACTGGAGTTGGGCACCCCTGCCTTAAGCAGTAGTTGTTCTCTGTTCTGACTGAGATCTGTCATTTTCAAGAGAAAATCTGATGACTATTTAGCACACACACACACAGAATTATCCTCAGCAGCACATTATTCAGCACTAATACTGGGCCCCCTCCTTCTCTTTATACAGGAAGTAGACAGTGACAGGACCGCAGCTCGTCTGCACAGTTTCTGATGCTCCAATCATAAGCCAAGAGCCCAGTCCATAGGCCAGCGATGGGAGACCTAGGACAGTGACAGCACAATATAAATCAACAGAGACCAGTTTTCAAAACTTACAAGATATCGGGGCAAAATTATACATAATAAAATGAAACAGTACATTGAACAGCCATTCAGCTTATTCCTGCTTTTGAAACTAACCAAGATTGATGACTTTCAGTACGGTAAAAAAATTATTTTCTACGTCCAAGTCTTGTAAAGGGGCTTTGGTGCAGTGGTACTTGACAAATGGGAAGCACCCGGTCCGGAGGATATGATAATTTGCTCCTGATACCTTCCAATTAAAGTTTGACAGTCCAAACTGATCATTGGAGATGTCACTATAGCGCACACAGAAGGAGGTCCAAGGTGGGAGCCTGCGCTGCACCAGGTGACAGGTTAACACTTCGGAGGCGGTGGGGCGCGGGCCCTTATTCCGGAGCGCGCAGGGGAACAAAAGTACTTTTATAATGACCCCATGGATACGACGGAGGACCTCAGTCATTGCTAATCAGGGAACAGAAAAAAACATTCCTATGGAAACACATTTTCCAAAACCGGTCAAATAAAAAAAGAACGACATGAACAGCATCCAATAATACAGTAGTCACCTAGTACGATGATGATTGTTATCCTTTCCACAAGTACATAGAGTAAAACTGCAAACGAAACATAAAAGTTAAAAATGAATGCAATACAGGGAGGTCACAGCTGAACTGCGAATTGGTCTTAAGCTAAGTCATGGGGCCACTATTTAGTTAATGGCCCCGTTTACAACCAAAAAGAACTGTACAATAAATTTCATTAACAGCGAGAAACGCCTCCCACCCTTTAAACCTCCGCTGTAAACAAGGGTTATTGCAATCTATCCCTCTCCGGTTCCGACGCGAAAGGTACGCGTAAGGGATTAAATGTGGACAATATGCAGGACTAGATCTATCGACAACCATGTAGCTGTAATCTGAAACATCAAGAGAATAAAGTTCCCCAATCGCCAATAAATCTTATTATAACAACTAGCCTATAGATAATGCTCACTGTAGGACGTCCTCCTTCGGTTTGTGACCGTGTAGAAACGCAGAGCACAGAATTTCAGTTCCTACATAATTTCTGAGCGTCTTCACTGAATAGTAATGCAGTAAACTACAAAGCAACAATATGACGCGGTTTCGATAGTGGGATGAATAGTCATTAAGATTAATTACAGCTTACACACTAATCAACCGTCTAATACGTTTAATACACTGGGTTTGGATGGACTGTGTAGAAATAAAGTCGGTGTGCTTCTAGGTAGGCGTGAAGTTTGCAATTCAATAACATTAATGCCTGAGGATGCTGCATAAATGCAGTGTGGGTGCTTTACATTGTTAGATGAACTTCACCATTTCGTCTTCATAAGCAGAACTTCACCACTAATAAACTACTCGTCGATAGTACTGTGGTAGAATGGTCCAAAATGTTCTGTAGCCTATAGTTTTTGTTTTACATACATATACAGACCGAATGGTAATTACTACGCAGTAAGCGACACGAAATAACGCCTGAAATACGTAAAAGGCAGTGATTACCTGTATAGCACAGAACAATATACCATTAACATACTAAACATACGATTAGATAGCATAGAAAGTAGATGTATGTATACGGAGTGTGAAAAAAAGCCAATGCAAATATGAATGCTCGATTATTTATTATTATAGGCCGACTTACTAACAACTAAGCTACACCGTATGAGTTATTGGCTGCATTTGGTAAATCTAACTTCTAAAGTTTTTGTCTCTAAATTGATTTATAAAATACTCATGGGGGAATGGTGAGAAAATACATCAAAAGAAACACAGAATATATATGTAATCCTTTCTTTGGTATTGCTGTTAAAATTGTTTCAGAGGGAATTAAGTAAGTTCAATATGACTCCTGAAGATACTGACTAGGCTAAGCTGGATGGATGGATGGTAATTTTGGTAACACTGACAGAGTAACAAGGATACTAATGTAGTAATTAAACATTGGGGAACACATTATTAATATACATGGAATTAAAATTAACACCAGCGTTGTCTCTATTGAACTGCATATTAATTGTAAGTAATAATAAGTGAACTATCAGAACGCTTTCAGAGTTCTTCCACCGAAATAAGCTACCAGGTTCAGGGTTGTGTGATGTCTGTCCTGATGAGCTCAAGTTGGTGCCTGAACAGCTGTATTTTGCCCCTTCAAAGGAGTCAATAAACACTCACTTTCAAGACATCCATTTTCCTTTTTATTGCGGAGTTTTCCTCTCTATCATTTTGTCCTCAGTGCAAACAGCAGTTCATAACAAAGAAGGAATGCCGTCCCACACTTGACCCTATCAAGCCAACTAGCTCGTAATTTACGGAGTCCGCATTGGCAGCGCAGGGTTACTGGAGGACCTTGACACGGGCTCAATGCCGCGCCAGTGAATGGGGCCCCACCGCGCCGCCAGTGAATGGGCCCCCACCTCGGCAGCCTCTCAAAGCGCATACCTAGTAGAATTCCGCGAATACAGAAATACACAGCTACGCAAAACTCCACCATTAGTCACACCTATGGTCCACTTCCTGTAAAAAAAACACATTCAATTTAAAATACATGCATATTCAAAAATACCTGCAGCAGGTAAACATCGAAAAAACAAGCAAAGGGGAATGCGCGGGAATTCTGAGTGTATGCTGAACAAAATATAGCATTATGGTTTATTAGGTTTATATTTTACTTTCGCTACTGAGAAACAATCTGCTTACGTTAATGCATAATTTATACCAGTAGTAATTGGTAAAAAATAAATTGCATAAATTTGAAATGTATGAGAATGGTGGGAGGTAGACACACAAAAAATAAATTATTATTTGGGTCTTTATTTACGTAACAGGACCTAGAGCAGCTAGTTGGAGGTTTAGGTTTTTCAGCATTGCCTTTGGCTAAACTGAATAATTACAGGTGCTTTTCCCTTCATTTAAAAGAGCCCTCAAAAAACAACAATCGTTAGTTCATTAACACCTTGTCTTAAAACTGGTCTCTGCAAGCATATTAGTAGCTGATATTTCCTGATGAATGACTGAAGGATTTCGAGCAAAGGTCAGTGGGACTCATGGGACATCCTGAGCGATTGTTCAGTTAATGATACCGCAAACAAACGAGTTTACTAATGAATCCCTCTGCTTGCTTCAAAAAACACAATCACCTCCGCTTTTGGACGGCGACACCGGGGGCAGCATAATGAATTTTTTCAACCTGAGAGAGCAGAGATCTTTGGGGAGAAATGAAGAGTGAAGAAGTGTTTTAACTTGTCGACCGAAGGATTTGTGCAATAAATTTCTTTTATTAATCAACTAAACACATGCCAGTGGTCTCAGATTCGCCTGAGAGTAGCGTACAAAAACAATTGACGTTTTCTCCTGCTGCTCTGAGAGTTAATTTTCCATTTGAGCGTCTAGTTTTGAGTGGGGAAAATGCTTTAATAATCTTTCGTCGACTTTTTCTTTTGTGTTTTTTCCGTTTGTATAACCGTGACTCGAAGTTCAGCGCTGGCGATCCAATAAGACAGAAGAAACTGAAAAGACCAAAACGAGATGCGCAGGTGTTCGTTTCAGCTCGAGAATCCATCTTAAATAGGCTACGTAAAAGCACCAGAGCTGAAATGCGGATAAACATCACGCGGCGTCCCCGTTTAAAGGAAGCTCACTGGCTGCTCCCTGCACATTGTGATTGGTTTTCGCTTTCACAGCACTGACGAAATACTTATGCAGTCCGTCCATCCATCCATCCATCCAGCCACTCATCTTCCATAACCACTTACAATAGGATTGCGGTGAACTTGGATCTGATCCCAGCAGACACAGGGCGTGACGCGGGTGACACCATGGAGATACTGTCAGTGCACTTTAGCGCCCCTACTTACGTGAATGATCACCCACTAAGGGCAATTTAGACGCAACAGTTCATTTAACTACGTGTGTCTGGATGGTGGAAGGAAACCTGGGCATGTTTGGGCTGAACATGTACACTCCACAAACAGAGCTGGTGCCAGGAATCAGAAGCGCGACCCGGAAAGTGCTACCCGCTCAGCCAATGTACCTCCCAGAAGAGCTCTATCACTCATGTAATGGAAATGTGCCGCGCAATCCACTCCGAGGAAGTGCACTTGGCAATTGAATAGAGCTTTAAGTTCCATTTTTATGGTCTATGCACCATCGACCTTGAATCAAACAGCATCTTTCAGAAACATTCGCATCACCAAAGTAACGGACAAGCAGTCAGATTATGGCTAAAGTCAAAAAATAGTAATCATGAGTTTATTACTATTGGAATTGCCCGCTGCAATTGGCACAACGCTGCCACACAAAAGGTGTGCTAAATATCCGAAGGGCTGCGCGCACTAGGAGAAAAGGTCACTGCGGACCGCGGCCCAGAGAGCTTGCCGCTGCTGACACAGAGCTGGCAGATGCGGGGGGGCAGGGGGGTGTAGGCTGCTATGAGGCAGCGTGGCCCACGCATAGGTGTACATTAAATAACCTTACAAGGTGAGAGAGAGACACACAGGGTCCCAGAGCAGAACTCCACCCAGAATACTGACCAGCGGAGCTCTGAGACGACAGCGCCGGCCTATGGCAACAGCTCAAGTCTGATTGGACGGGCTGCCTTTTCAAGTCCGCATCACTTACTGTCCTCACAGACAATGAGTGCACTGTCCGGTCGGGACACGGGTGCGCATGTGACGATAATGACAGGCCACTGTTACCGCCGTTCTCCACGGGGACGGCTGGACAGCTGAAATGCAGGGGTGAGCTATCAGGCCAGGGAATGAATGAACGTTTGATAAAATAACTCAAGTTGCAGCTTAACAAGCGTAAACTCTGGTTTGCCACTAATAATGGAAGTCTATTGTTTAAGGGCTGGCGTCGAGCTGATGAGGTGCTTATTGTGGCTACAAAGTATGCATTCACATGCATAATGAATTGCTGTATGAATTATTAATGTGTTGATTATTTAGGCTCATCTATCAGAATGATAATGTATTCAGCACCTAGCCACCAACTGTGTTTTATGCATAATTACAGTAGCTGGTTGTATTTAACAAAAATTAAAAAGACAAACTTTACCAATCAATTTTTATAGATGTTGCAGCTAATGAGCTAATCTTTCTCTGCAAGGCTTTTCTTAACTTTATGGCTGGGTTTGGGGGGGGGGGGGGGGTTGGTCGTGAACCGTCCTGAGAGTGTCACGCTCTGTGCAGGCATTCAAGTGCACCCTGAACTTAATTACTATTCAAACATGTAAATGAAGGATTCTCTCACCGTGTAATCGGTTTTCCTCGCGCTTGGCATCGTGACGGCATTGCAGCCTGATATTCAGCCTTAGCATGATGCCTGTGAAGCCACAGTCAACTCGTGCTGATGCGTCTTTGATTACGGTACGAGATCAGTGTGAATTTAGGCTTTAACCTGTTTTAAATCATTAATCAAGACTGAAATATTCCTAATGATAGATCTTTTACTTGACGAATAATGGATTCTGGGCCCATTTGACTTTCCATGTTTTTTCATTTCCCCTGTTGCCCCAAGGCCCAGAAGAAGTCCGAGACAGCAGGACACTTCCGCGCTGACAGATGAGGTCACAGACAGTGATCATGGCAGCTAAATTTTAATGACTAACAACGGGGCGGCAATAATGCACTGCCAATGCGGCCAGTTTATTGCAGAATTTTACAGTAAACTGACTGAATAACCGATTGGTATCCTACAGAAATCCAGCAGACCGGGTGTAATCTCCCCACCACCGTGACCAGCACCTCAGTTACTGAAGGAGAAATTTGTTGACAAAGATTGGCCTTAATCAGTATAGTAAAACTTCATCCATCCATCCATTCATCCATCCATCCATCCATCTTCCAAATGTACATCCAGTACAGGACCACAGAAAACCGGGCAGATACAGTACGTACACAATAAGAATAATTGTTATTCAGGACGAATTTCGAGTACGACCTGTTTGCAATGGAGCCGCAGCCCAATGCGCTGTTCCAGCCCGCGGTG